GTACAGCTGATGGAGGAAGGAGTCTCTCCAGAGATTTCCTGCACTTGACTCTCCTCTTGGACTGTAACTCTGATGGAGGACTAGACTCCCTCAGAGCAGGCCAAGACTAGTAGGGTCATGGAGGATATTCTATTCCCTGAGTAGACCATAGGAGAGGGTATCACACAGGAACCTCTTTTTAAGAGTTCCAGTCCTGTTCCTTCTGCCTCATGCCCCCTGGACAAGATCTAAGAGGGGAATAAAAGTACAGGCCTCATGAGGAGATGTAGGACTCATCTGGAAAGAGAAGCACGAGACCTGCTGGTCAGAAGAAGCCTGAGGACAAGGTGGATAGAATGCTGCACTCTTAATCGATGTCAGTAGTACCAGCATAAGATACTGGCAGAGATGATGTCAATGGTGCTGGGAGCGACAGTGGTGCCAGCAGTGCTGACAGACTAAGACTGAGAATTATATACATTGAAGACTTAAAGCTGGCAAATTGAAGCAAAAGCTACAGGTGCTCCAACTTTTGCAATGGGCGCTGAGACGGAACTGAGAGTGGGGTGGTAGACATGCCCCTTTTTTGTCTTCAGCTCGATGCACAAGAAGAGCATGCGCTACCTAGTGGTAATACTGGCAAAAGTCTAGTACTCAAATGAATTGGGTGCCCTAAACCTAAAGTGGAATGTATATGTGCAAAAACGAGGAGCCCTTGTGGCACCTTAGAGACTAATCACTCGAAGTAGAATAAGTATTACAGTAGCATCCAGAGGCCCCGAACAAGATCAGGCACTCATATTTGATATGGTACAAACATACAATAAAAAACAGTTCAAGCCCTGAATAATTTACAACCTAAAAATAGGGACAAATACAGGCAGGGAAAGGGTGACAACAATGAAAACAAAAGTTTAATATACATTTTTAACTAATTGTACAATCCTCAGGCTTTGAAGTTTCTTTTTTAATACCTGTTCAGGAGATACTAACAAGCAATTTGTCTAGACATCATCATTAAGATCTCTACTATGATGCCAAAGTATCTGATGGAACACAGACTTCTGGATGTGTGAAATGATTTTTGGAGGGCATTCCACACATAACGGGCAGCAAAAAGTTATCTCTGGGAGAAGTGGACAAAGCAGGAGAGAGAGCTTACCATCATTATTAAAACAAAGGGTGAAAGTCACAACATGGTGAAATAAGAGAATGGTTAAGTATGAGGAGCTAAAATTGGAAGGGCCTTGTTAATAAGAACTCCTTCTTTGTGTTTGATGTGATGAGAAGGGAGCTCATACTTCCAGGCAATGCATCTCTGGTAATATATACAGACTAAAAATATGAGAAAAAAGTATATACATTTCAGAATCTGACACTCCAGCTTCTATATGTCCTCATTAACCAAAACAAGTAATTAATACAAAGATTTCCCTCTATATTTATTTTAAAATGGGAAATAAAATTTACCAAATCATTGGCCGGACAGGTTATAAAAGTTCTCTTTTGAATAACCTCCCACTTCCCAGCCTTTTTTTTAAAACAGCCCAATGAAAGAAATACAGAAATGTTTCCTTTTAGTCAGAGGAAAGGCATTAACAGCATGGCACATCTTAAAGGCATTAGCACTTCACAGCAGTATGCTGACTTAAAAAATAAGATAAGCAGAACTAAAGTCTTTCATTTCCATTTTACTGCTGAGAAAAGGAAAAGGCTACTATGACAGAAAAAAGCATTGCTATAAAATGGAACTAACAAAGAAAGCATCTGACTGATATTCAAGCAACTTTTTATTTTATGTAACAAAGTATTATGATTGTGGGGGGAAGGGATAGCTCAGTAGTTTGAGCATTGGCCTGCTAAACCCAGGGTTGTGAGTTCAATCCTTGAGGGGGGCCACTTAGGGATCTGAGGCAAAATCAGTACTTGGTCCTGCTAGTGAAGGCAGGGGGATGGACTCGATCTTTCAAGGTCCCTTCCAGTTCTAGGAGATGGGATATCTCCATTAATTTAATTTAATTTAATAATCAACAGGAGACACGAATGGAAGATGTAATTTGGTAGGTTTTTTTTTTTTTTTAAACAAGAACCAAAATAAAATTAAAGCAAGTTACTAATTCCTCCTTACATGGGTTAAAAACACATATAAGGACAACCACCATTTATTTTAGTTACAATATTACACCCTGGATGCAATTCAACTTCACATTATTTCTATTCCCCTAGATCAGTGGTCACCAACCAGTCAATCGGGATCGACTGGTTGATCCTAGAGGATCTCCCAGTTGATCGCGATCTCTGATGCTATAGTAGGGCTGCTGCTAAGGTAGTTCCCTGCCTGCCCCGGCCCCACGGCGCTCCTGGAAGTGGCCAATGTGACCCCGGGGGCAGAGGTCTCCATCCACGCACTGCCCCTCTCTGCAAGCACCACCCCCGCAGCTCCCATTGGCCGGGAAAGAGGAGCTGTGGCCAATGGGAGCTGATGGGCGGTGTTTGCAGAGAGGGGCAATGCAGAGAGCCACGTGTCCCCTGCCCCTCAGGGGCAGCAGGGGCGCGTTGGCCCCTTCCGGGAGCGGCGTGGGGCCAGGGTAGGCAGGGAGCCTGCCTTAGCGGCAGCCACACTACACCACCAACCGGGAGCCGCCGGAGGTAAGTGCTGCCCAGAGGAAAGCCACACCCCAACCTCCAGCCCTGAGCCCCCTCCCAGAGCCAGCACCTCATACCCCTCCCGCACCATAACTCCCTGCCCTGACTCCCGATCCCAGCGCCAGCACCCTGTACCCCCTCCTGCACCCCAACACTCTGGTCCAGCCCGGAGCCCCCTCCAGCACCCAAACTCCCTCCCAGACCTTGTATCCCTCACCCCTCCTGCACCCCAACCCCCTGCCCCAGACTCAGCTCAGAGCCCCCTCGGCTGCAGCCCAGAGCCTGAACCCCCTCCTGCACCCCAACCCTCTGCCCCAGCCCAGTCAAAGTGAGTGACGGTGAAGGAGAGCGAGTTACGGGGGGGGGGGGGGGGGGGGGGGAGAAATGGAGTGAGCGGGACGGGGCTTTGGAGAAGAGGCAGGGGAAATCCTGGGGTGCCCTTAAATTCAAAAAGTGATCTTGGGCGTAAAAAGTTTGGAGACCACTGCCCTAGATGATCATGGCTTGCTGTCCCCATAGTGGATCATAAAATTGTGCTATTTGCATTGACTGCGAGATGTGCTACTAGAGTTTGAGGACTATCCCAGGCATTATGTCTAGAGCAGTGGTCTCCAACCTTTTTACGCACAAGATAACTTTTTGAATTTAAGGTCAATGCAGTGAGAGGGTGGCTGTTATACTGCTTCCTCACCAAGGCTTCAAAGGGCTTAACTCAGAGGCATAGTAAAGCAAGAGGCATCAGACACTAGCTGGCCTAATGGTTATTCTTCACTGAGCTCTGCAGTTGCAGGAGAACTGTGCAGTAGATGACCCCTCAGGCTGTAGGCTGCATGGTCTGGCACACTGACTGGGACTGATTAACCAGGGATGGATTTGCAAAGTTTGAAGATTGTTGGTTACTATGCAGACTTGTCCTTGAATGTAGAAGTAGGCCCAGTAAACCACTGCAACTCCTACTGCAGTCACTGGGAGTTGTGTCACTTAACTAAAGGTAGAACCGGTGCCATTTCTAAGGGGAAAACACAAACAACTTTTATCTTCAGAATTAGCTTCTTCAGTATGAATACTGATGTCAGAATATGCAGCACCAAAAACAGTAACTGCTCCAATTTCCTCCCAGGTCTTTCCATGTGGTGTAAATTGCTTTCAGTAATTTAGATCACTGTGAAATCATTATTGGAATATAAATGCCAGTTTCTACAGTTCATTCACTTTTGATATTCAGCTATTTACTTAGCAAAATGTTGGTGGAACACCCTTCCATTTCAGTATGTAACCTCTGCACTTTGGTTAAAATGCATTATGGACAACTAACAATTCCCAAATGTGTTTGAAAGTATGCATAATCTGCATTTATAATGTATGAACTTCACCTGGGTGGTCATAAAAATAAACAAATATTACTTTAATAGATTAACTGCAAGAAGGACATTATTTCTATTGATTTAGCTCTTTATTTCTATTGGTGCTAACGTAGAGGCCCAAAGCAGTATCAGGCCCCTCTGTGCTCGATGCTATGCAAACACACAGCAAAAGAGTCAGTTCTGGACCCAAAGAGCTTATCATTTAATCTGAGACAAAAATAACAAGAGTGAAAATAAGAAGGCAGGAAAAGATGATGGGGAGAACAGTTACATCAGTGAGTTCCGTGCACAAGCCAAACATCACTGAAGGTACCAAATACACTTTAATATAATTAGCTTTCCCTGACTGATGCACAACAAAACCATTATCAGCTGGCTGATTTCCCGTAGGTTCACAAGCAGAGGTGGGTCTTGAAGAGGGATTTTAAGGAAGGGTAAGTAGTATCCATATGTATTAATTCAGAGGGGTGTTCCATGTGTAACCCATGCTTACTGGAATGAATGTGGACTGTTCCCTTCTGGAGGGTGGACCACAGCAGTTTATGAGTTGGCTATGGTCTTTGAGCAAATAGAGTTGGGTCTTTTAGCTCAGGCAGTGGAGGAAGACTGCTGAATTAAAATAGTAAACCCAAGTTCAGTCTCCACTGGCGACAACCCATCCAGGGCACTGTAGTACAGGGGCTGCATGGGGAAAGTGAACAGATGGGAAGACAAGGCTGGCATCTAGCTGGGACAGACAGATTTATGAAGGGCCTTGAAAAAGGGGACGAGAAGGAATTTTATAGGGTAGAATTTTATGAGATGAAACAGGAGGAGCCAGTGAAAGGATTCAAAGTGACCTGATCAGAGTGATGGGCAGGGAAGAAAGATTAGAATACTTCAAGAGAAGCTCTTCATATATACAGTGAAGAAGTTTGTCATTAGTATTAAAACTGTTAATCTTTTTTATTGAAATATTAAACACACTTCCAACTTTTAGGACAGTCATTTTGATATTTGTTTTCTACTCACGCAAAAACTGGTCTAACAGCATTGTTCATATTCCCATAGGTTGCTCGGCCCAACAGTTCTCTAAAACAATTCTCGGCCAGCACAGCAGGGTTCTCCTCTTTCTCTCCTCCTGTAGGGGAAGAGGGTGGGCCAATTCGACTGAAACAAAGAAAAAAGTTGCACTGGAGTTATTCTTACTTGTTACTCATACACCTATCCCTAGGTACTTTTATGGCTCTGATCCATCTAGTATTCAAGTGCTTGACTTATGCAAAGCCACTCAACAATGACCTCTGCAAGATATCTCATCCAACTTGTTCCAAGACAGACAGTGCACGACAAGCTGGGATGTAAACCTAGAGTGCAGTATAATGTCAGGCACTAACTAGCCATGTGGACGCTGCTACTGCGCACTAAAAGTATAGCGTGCTTTGATCTACTCCAGTTTCACGTAGCCAGTTAGTGCACTGCACGTTAGTGTGCTGTAAATTTACAATCACAGCCTACTGTGCACTAACTGTCCATCTAGTCAAGCCCTGTGTATTTTTGTGGCTCAACAATTTTATCTGTGTCTGTACTAGGTTGTGAATTACCTGGAGCAGAGACTGAATGTCAGTCTTTACATATCTATTCTCCCCCAAGCAAACTGTAGGGGTTCAATAAATAATTTAGTTATAGGACCAGTAACTGACAGGAGGCAAAACAATGGCTATCAATACTGAGTTTTGACATGTTACTTGTCCAGTAACACTATCACATCTAGTATTGTAGATTTGTCTATGGACTGAGAAACCTGGTGAACAAATGGTTGCCCTTTCATCCTAGATAGCTTTAAGTCTAAAACCTATTTGGCAAGATCAAATCCACTCGTTAGCTATATAATTTGGTTAGGTTTAATTCAGACAATTCTGTCAATCCTTACATTATCTGAAGGGTTCCATCCTTATCTAAAGGAATTGGATGGAGGTTCCTGATCTGAAGGAACCTCCACCCCCTGCTGTAACTCACTCCAAAAAAACATAATTGGTGAATACACTCTCTGCTGCCTTCCCCTTTCACATGCAGCTTTTATTAGAGCACTTTGGGGCAAATGGGACAAAAAGTTTCTGCAATGAACCTTGTGTCTTGTAAAAGAAGAACAAGTCAAACAGTTTTGAAGGAGCCCCAGCTGTATTTGTATCAGCCCTGAACTCAGCTATCCAAAGAAATCCAAAGAAATATCCAAAGAAATTGAGCCATTCTTGGTCTTGGTCTTACATAACCCCCTAAGTATAGCAGAAAAAAGTATTATAAAACACAGTACTTTATTTAATGCCTTTTTATGTATTTCATCCAATCAGAATTCAGATTATTGAGTGGGCAGGAGCCATTCAGCGGCAGGTGGCCCCCTCCATGGCTGGGGGCTCATCCTCCTCCTTGCAGTCCTAACTAGAGGTCTCTGCTCTGTCCTGCTCACCCACTTTTATGAAGGCAGGGTGGCGGAGGGGTTCCTGCGCTGCCACAGGGTCGGTGGACACCTGATCCCTGCAGGCACAAGATGCAAGGAAGGCTGCAGTCCATGCAGGGAAGAGCAGAAGCCTGTCATGGCCCCACTGACTCCCCTCCATGACAGCTGGGCTGCAGAGGGTTCCTTGTGCTGCTGCAGGAGTCATTCAGCCTCTCTCACGGTTGAGGGCTTGTCCTCCCCCTTGCAGTCAGGGTCTTTTATCCGAATGTCCACATTATCCAAATGCCTTCCTTATCCCCCAGCATGAGATACACGCTGTAGAGGGCCTGTATCTCATGCTGGGAGACAAGGAAGGGATTCAGATAATGCGGACATTCGGATAATGGGGTTTTGGATAAACAGGAACATACCGTAAGCCTATATAACAGACAGGTCGAAAATAATTTAAAGCAAAAGTTATGCGATGTTTCAGGCTGCATAAAATATTTTTGGTAACATAGCTAAGATTTACTTGTATGTATTTATTATATTTCAAAATAAATTAAAAGCCCCAAATCTATGCAAGAACTTGGGCAAAACTTTGGTAAGAACAAAGTGACTAATGATCTCCTTCACTCGCCCACCGCTTAATCCTCATTAGGTGGGTGAGTGTAAAATGAAAACTCCAGTACTTTTGCAGTAACAGTTGGTTTCCAGGTTAAAAAAAATTGACGGAACTAATTAGAACATTGCTGCCCACATAACAATCACAGCTAGATCCTGCAGACCTTAAAGTCTGCAAGTATATTCAATTCCGGAAACACAATGCTTGTGTGTTAACTTTATTTACAAAGAATGTCAATCAAAAGAGGCACGCCATATTTAATAGTTTTCAGTAGCTTAAAGCTATAGCCTATGAGTATCACAAAGTCAGAGGTTGAAAAGAAATGTCATTTTAGTCAAATGACAACATACTTCACAGCTCTAAGGCTTTCCAGTGTTCGCAGAAGGTTTGTGGTTTAAGGCCATCGAGATCTAAAATTACATAGTCAAGCCTAAGTGCCTCTGCTCTGGTCAATATTTTAGAAGCTACAATACTAAGTAGGTGGTTAATAATTAGACGCTTGCCAAACACTTTTAGGGTGCAAAAGAGGAGATCATGAGGACACTTGTCTAACAGAATGGGAAAAAAAACTGGATTTGCTATTAGAGGGTAAGTCTATATAGCCTGAAGCAGCGAGCCTCCTGGCCTGGGTCAACAGACTCAGGCTAGCAAGGCTTATGCTAGTGCTCTAAAAATAGCTGTGTAGAAAGTGCTTTGAAGGTGCAGCGAGGTTCAGAGCCTGAGTCACAACTTCAAAGCACTGTCTACACAGCCTATTTTTAGAGTGCTAGCCCGAGCCCCGCTAGTCCAAGTCTGTTGACCCAGGCTGGGAGGCTCATTGCTGTGTAGACATAGAGTTTGTGTTTTACCACCGCTTATGCCCAATGCCAACCACTTTATTGTTAAGTTATATTGGTTATTTCAGTTCCAGTTTTTAAACGGGATATACCAATTGTAAAGCTGAATGAAAATTAAAATGAACAAAACCATTTTAATTTCAGCACATAACTGGTAGTAATATACATAGTGATGCTACGACTTCAATTTCTTAATTACCTACAACAGTGATATTCAATTACATTTTCTGGTGGGCCAGATAAGGCAATGTCCAAATCTTGGTGGGCTAAAGGGCACTCTCTAGGGCCAAAGGGCTTTTCAGGTGTTTGCTCTCTAGTGAGCCTGCCACCGGCCAGGGCTTGCAACCTTTCAAGAGTGGTATGCCAGACTATTTATTAATCTCAACATAAAAAAATTAAGCATGCCAGTAGACAATATTCTGATGAAATGTTGCAAATAACTATTTACACAAATACACTGTAATGTTATTAAAACAGCATGCTATTAATATAAATTCTATTAAAACTACAAAATTCACATTAGACGTTAAACTCATAAGAAATGAACGGACATCTAATTTTCTTTTCTTACAGCCTGAAATATTGACATTTGCTCGCAGTCTTTTTCGGAAAGGTGCTGCACAGTACCAATCAAATTAACTGAAAGCATATCAATTACAGATCACTTTAAGTTGCATAAGTATCTGATAAAGCACTTAAGTCAAAATGTAGCAACACGGTCTAGCTCCAATGTGTTTAAATGCACATGAAAAGTTTCTAAATTAAATACATAGCCTGACCGTAAACAGAGGGAAAATAAACTGAAGTGCATCTGCCCTGCTCCCATCAACTCAGTTCCCCAGAAGTTCTGCCCTCTAGCCCCTCCCATGTGCCCCTCCCCCAAGTTGTGCCCAGCCCCACCTCTGCTCTTACTGGACTCTTCACCCCCCTCTCCCAGAGTGGGGGAGGGATGCAGCGGGGTCTCCCCGCCCCTCTTCCAGGCAGAGGGCAGCTCCAGGGGTTTTCTTCACCAACCTCTCCCTTCTTAGGACAGGTATTACAGGGAGGGAGGGGAGAGGAGCAGAGGAGCCAACTCTGCTCACACAAGTTGGGGGAGGGGGGGAGCGAAGGGCGTGGACTTGCCCTGAGCTGCAGGGCTCCTTCCGCTCCCTCCTCCCCTCCTGTAAGCCCCCTCCCTTCCTGTGAGAATAGGCTAGACTCCTCAGGGAAAGGGAAAAGAACTCTGCTGTTTCCAGAGCAGGTCTGGTTGGCTGCTGCTTCCCAAAAGGCATGAAGGAACAGCTGATGCCCAGGCAAATGGAAGACCATTGTAGGCCAGATCTGTGTCTCAGGTTGCCAACTGAAAAACAATGCAGTAAGTGATACATTTTGGAGACGCCTTATAATCCAAGGTCCTGAGCTGCATCCCTAGCCTCTGCGTTAATCCAGCCCTGAGTACATGACAATGTTTCACTGCAGAGAACTTTGCCATTTTTCCACTGCAGCTATCAAAGAATCTGTTATGAATGGGTATGTGGTAAATGCCTGCTCAGCTTGTAATAAACTACATAAGACCTCTTCCAATCCCTACTTTGAGCATTTATTCTAGAAACCATGAGGAGGAGGAATGTTTCAGGCTTATGAAAAAGAATATATTATACATATACTAGAAATTAGATAGTACATTTCTCCCTTGTAATACAGAACTGTAATAAAGTATAAAAGTGCAGTAGTGAAAAAGAATAAATGACTGTTAGAATTATAAGATGCAGCAAGTCTGAGTTTGCCTACATGTGGGGTGGGGTTGAGGGTGTTAAACCACATTGATGCCATTATTTAACTTGCAGTACGTAAGCCACGCTAATAGCATGCATACAGGACGGCTGTGCATTTTTTCAATTTGCATCGTTGTGTACACTAAGCACGTGGAGTTCTTGGAGGATCTTCTATGGTCCTTTGTTTTGCTGCTAAGTAGTATGCATTCTGGGATTTTTCTCTCTGCATTGTGGGATGCATAGCAGAAACCAGGAGGGTTCAAATTCTTAAAAAAATAAACAAAAAAACCCTAGGTTTCTGCTTTCTCTGCCCCATGCTCTTTTTCTGGGTGGGTTAGCCCCATTTTCGTATTTCTGTTGGCCAGCATGGACCAAACAATGCGCTGCGCTGCACCTCTATGCTGGTAACTGTGAATATACAGAGGCAGGCTGGGCTGCATTTCGGCACTTAAAGCTGGATGGAATTGGACTTTGCCTGCTGCACCACCCAGCAGATGATGTGGCAACAGCAACTGTCC